CAAAACACTGCAGAAATGTCTATGAAATATGAACACTCCCATTTAAGAGCACAATCATTAGTCTCACTAAGACCTTAGAAAACTGCTGAGCATGAAACTTGCACGGAAAATACTTAATAGTTTGAAGGGAAACTACCAGCTAAAACAACAGTCCTGAAGTGTTATTTTGCTGTTAATTCTATGTGGTAAGCTCTGACACAGTATCAAGTATGGAATGCATATAAGGACATAATGCTTTATTCCTATGGTTTATTCTTTCTTTTTCTAAAAAGAGAGAGAGAGGGGGGGGGGGGACGACTCCCATATAAAAAAAAATTATGTCTACTTATCTTACTTTTCTTTGGGGTAAAATAATTTGATGATTTATATGGATTAGCTCATGAGACAATAGCCAGGGTCACCCATCATTTTTAAATGTCTACATGGCTTTCTCAATCAACTGAAAGAAAATAACATGCAGAAGTGGGTGTAATGGTAGAATAAAATGGCAGAAGTAAATAAAGGAGACCAATGCATTCCAGCTAACTCAGAACAGCTGGAGAGGCTGAGCTTTCTGAGTGTGGAGGGGAACTCGGCCTGGGCATTTGGCGCTCTGGCCTGTTTTCTCCACATGTTAGTAATGGTTTCAGAGCCTGTCCAAATGCAACATGTTCCCCGCTCATTCCCACAATGCATGACTTACGAGAGGCGAGATCAAACTGCATGAATACCCGGTTGGAGGAAAAACAAAACCAGTGTCCCAAATCTGAGGCACACTGAGGATTATAAATGATAATAAAAGTCTCCAAAGAAAAAAGAGGCAAATATTTTGATATTATCATGTCTCTGTATCCTATAACAATATTTCTCCAGCAGATTATGACGCTTTACACCAAATATTCCCAACTATGGTTGTCAATGTAGAGCCTTTACAGGAACAGAACAGGATTGAAAATGACCCTCTTCATGGTGCACAGATTGGCACACATTTTAGTTGCATGGAGTCCACAAAAGCTTTTGGGTGGCCTCACTGCTAATTCTAAGTAAGCCTCCATTTGAAAGATTACATTGTTGTTTACACACAGCAACAACAGCCAGAAATAAATAGAAAGCAGCATGAAGAAACTAGAGGAAAATTGCTTTTAATACAAATATTCTTTATAGTGTTGCTCTAGTGTGAAAGTTACTTCCAATTAGTCAAGTTCAAATCTATGGTTGCAAATATGAAGGTGTCAGAGGAAAACATAGTAATTTATAGCCCTAGCCAGTTTGGCTCAGTGGATAGTGTGTTGGCCTGTGGACTGAAAGATCTCAGGTTCAGCCGAGACCGGTTTGGCTCAATGGATAGAGCGTCGGCTTGGGGACTGAAGGGACCCGGGTTCGATTCCGGTCAAGGGCATGTACCTTGGTTGCGGGCATATCCCCAGTAGGGGGTGTGCAAGAGGCAGCTGATCGATGACTCTCTCTCTCATCGATGTTTCTAGCTTTCTATCTCTCTCCCTTCCTCTCTGTACAAAATCAATAAAATATATTTAAAAAAAAAAAAAAAAAAAAATGAAAGATCTCAGGTTCAATTCTGGTCAAGGGCACATGCCCCGGTTGTGGGCTTGATCCCCAGTAGGGGGCATACAAGAGGCAGCCGATCAATGATTCTCATCATTGGTGTTTCTCTCTCTCCTCCCTTCCTCGCTGAAATCAATAAAAAATATATTATTTTAAAAAATCTACTTTTATTCAACCTTGTATTCCCTGGGTTTAGCATTGTCTGGCATATATTAAGTGCTCAATGAAGAAATTGATTCATTGAGCTTTTTCTTTTTACATTTAAAGACTCACCCTTCCGATCCTCCAAAAATCCATCTCAAGCTGATGTCTACTTATCTTGCCTCTTGTACTCTATTTTGTGGGCTGTCTCTTTCATCCCCCATGTTCTCCCCATAAGAACCTTCTTAGAAGAGTTGTTTCATTCTCCTCTTTCCATTTACTCACCCTCCACATATTGCTTGAATCATTGGCTTTTATAATTCATCATCCACTGAAATTATTCTCAATAAGGCCATTAAGGACATCTTTATCATTAACTATTGCACAATGACCACTTTCCACTCCTGGGTACCTTATATGACCTCTAAGCACTTTTCAATATCTTCATAAGTGAAAACAGATACAATTCCCCTTAGTGTTCACACTTCATACTCTTCTGGGTTTCCTCTGCCTTCCCACTCTTACTGGCTTCTACTTCTCAGCCCATCTTTTAAGTATTAATGCACCTACCCTCAGTCCTTCTCTGGGTTCCTCTATGAGAATTCATCCATGGTTTCAATAATGATGACATATAAATGTCTACTTTTCACTCAGATCTCACTTAAATATCCACCTGCCTACATAATATTTCTATGTACCTGAACATGGATTTGTGGATATGCACCACAAATTTAACATGTTTAATACAACTCATTATCTTTCATCCTTGTAATTTGTTCTCCTTTGTTTATCCCGTTTGCAGTGACTATTATCAAGTTGACAAAGAATCTTGTATGTCATTAGTGTCTGTTGATTCTCTCTGTGGAATACTTTTGGAATCGGTCTACATTTCTCCAGCCCCTAACAAATGCTTGGGTCATTTCTTACTTGAATGGTCTGTCATCAATATAGAAGAACCTCATCACTTTCAATCCATTTTCCACATAACAGCCAGAATGTCCCTACTCAAATAAAAATCTGATTACTTCTGGCTCCTACTTAAAACCTCTCAAGGGCCGAGACCGGTTTGGCTCAATGGATAGAGCATCGGCTTGGGGACTGAAGGGTCCTGGGTTCGATTCCGGTCAAGGGCATGTACCTTGGTTGCGGGCATATCCCCAGTAGGGGGTGTGCAAGAGGCAACTGATCGATGACTCTCTCTCATCGATGTTTCTAACTCTCTATCTCTCTCCCTTCCTCTCTGTACAAAATCAATAAAAAAATATTTAAAAAAATAAAAAATAAAAAAAGTAAAAACCTCTCAAGGCTTCCCACTGCCCCTAGGATAAAATCCAAATTGCTTACCATGGCCTCCATGGCTCTGCCCAGCTGTCCGGTTGCTGCTTACTTCTCTAGTCTTCTATTCACTCCCCTCATTACCTATTCTCCAGTCACGACCTCTAGCTTAGGTCTTGGACTGCTCCATCTGTTCTTACCTCTGGGCCTCTGCATACTCTTTGCAGGGAACATCCTAACCTCTGCCTCTACACACAACTTAAGTCCTTCCAATCCTTGAGGTTTCACCTTAACTCTTACTTCCTCTGAGAAGTCCCCTTGCACACAACAGGCATTCAATAAATTACCTTTCTTTCCTAATTGCCATGTTTTAATTTAATGTCAGATTTTATAGTTTTGACTTTACTCAAGCTATTTTATTAATAAAACACAAACAAAATAGGCTTTATAAAGACCTACCAATAGAATATTTTGAGTAATGTGATGAATCTTGCTATTAAAGAAGCCCATCATAAACATGGCATTTGCAAAATTGTTCTAAATAAAAACCAACTTAAGAAAGACTTGCTTCCCATTCTTACATGTCCATAGACCTAAGGTGTATGCAGATGTTTTATTCTTCTATTTCCCCTTTTATTATTATCAGAATAATGCCAGCTAAATAAATTCATTACGATTAAAATAAACTTTTAATATTTCATCATTTCATACATAGCACTTACTTGAACCAAAAGAAAGCATAAAATATTGAATTAAATTATATACAAACGCCTAATATCTGATGGTTTTTTTACCAACAAGAATAATAATTTCATCAACTCAACTTAATATAAATAATACTAAATATATAGAAAAAAGCAATCAGATCAAGACTAATTATAAAGGTTATGTGTATATGCACTTGAATATATATAGGTATCCCATTTATGGGCTCTTATGCTCTATAGAAATATAATTTGCTTATTAACAAATCTCAGATTGTCCCACAATAGAAGCTGATTTTTTTAGTCAGCCTTTTAAGAATCCAATGAAAACTATATATTGTTTCACCAGAGGAAAAATGTTCATATGCTTATATAAATAAATACAAATTTTTACTGATTCAGAGTTCATGAAGCTAAGATCCAAGTTTAAGAAGCTAAGCAACAGCAGAGGTTTTGTTTGTTTTTTGCACTTCTTCCTATTAGGAAGTTGTCCAACCTCCTCTACTGAACTTGTCTCTTTTCTCTCCTATCTTAAGTCTTTTTGTTAAGTCATGTTCTTAAGTTTATTTTGCAAGCCTTCTGTTGGATTTCTTTTACAAATTTTTGGATTATTTTGTTGTTAATCCTCACCCAAGGACATTTTTCCATTGATCTTTTTTAGAGAGAGTGGATGAGAGTGAAAGTCAGAGAGAAACATCAATTTGAGAAAAACACATCAATTGGTTGCTTTCTGCATACACCCCAACCAGGGCCTGGGCTGGAGAGGAGCCTGCAACATGCCCTTGACTGGAATTGACCTGGGACCCTTTGGTCTGAAGGCCAATGCTTTATCCACTGAGCCAAACTCTGGGTAGAGCCAGAGTTTTATTAACTACAAGGTAAAAATTGAATGGTGATATTAAACAAAAGCTGACTTCCCAATCAAGTGCAGGATATTCATATATTAAGTATTAAGTAACCAAATGACTTTTTCAAAAAGACTGACAGGTCAGCATATTTCTGATGTTAGCCTGGCTGAAACCATAGGAGCTGAGGGAAACAGAATACTTTGAAATCATGTTAAATTAGAAAAAAATAAACACCAAAAGATATTCCTGATATTTATCTAATCCACCATGATTCAATAATACAACCTGTTGGTACAATCAGAAATAAGCCACAAACAGAGGTAATGAGTTAATTTTTACCTGCAACTGTTACTGTTTAAAACAACAGTAACTTTCTCCTTCTTTACTGATCCCACATTGCTTATTTTTCCCTATTTTTTATTTCTGCCTAGCTATTGATCCATTTCTAACATATTAAATATATTCTTTAGTTATTATGTTGTTCACTCTCTATTTCCTTATGCAAGAAAGTAAGGTCCATAAGACCTGGGATCTTTGTTTGTTCAGAAAAGAAATGTATATTAATATCATGGTGAGGTAAGAAAATTCCCTAGTATATATCTATTATAGTATAGTCCCAAGGTAAATTGGTGCCAAATTAAAAAAAAAAAGTGACCTCTCACCTTGATACTAAAACTTTCTGGATAGATTTCTATTTCAAATTATTTTATATAATGTGTTTAGTTTTATCAGACATGTGATAAGAAGCAATCACAGTATTTGGCAAATGTGGGATGTGAATGGACAGATAAAGCCTCAAAGCTTTCCAAGTCCCTTAGAGAAAGGAAAGCAATGCCTAAGTAGACTTTTCTTGCTTTGTCCTAAATAATCTTAAAACAGATGGTAAAAGCTAACTACTAGGTCTTCTGCCATGCAAACCACTATCACAGCAGCCCATTCTAGAGTCTTACCTATAAAATAAATATTTGTCTTCCTATTGTTACCATCTGAACCTGCCAATTTTCACTCTAAATCATACTAGAAGGTATGGCTACTATATACTTATCAGCCTGACAAAAAAGTCCGGGACATACTATTTCACACACACATCACCTTAAACACAGTCAAAATCCAGCAACATACACTGGGACTGGGTTTACATAATTATGCATTCAAGTTCCACCTTTATGACATGTAAATTTGTGTATCTTACCTTAATATTACAAGCCTGCTCCATCAATCTTCTTGCATTTTCCTCTGCCCTGTATCTCTTTGGAAGCTGAACTCTGAAGAACTTTAAAGCCCCTTCAAAATCAGCCTGCAGAAGATCTTCCTTTGAGGTCTGCAAAATAATCAGCCAGATCATCATGACATCTTAGTCTGCATTCATGACACATGTGTTGAAAAAAAAATTTCTATTTTCTAGAATGCACTTTTTAAAGCTAGTGTCTAGATTAGTTCTAAAACATTTTAGAAAAGAGATTTCTAACCTCTTGACTCAAATAAGTCACCATAAATCCTAGAAGCAATATAAGAATTAACAGGCTAACGTATTTGATTTATATTGCCTAAAAATTTCAATGGTGAATCATGGCAATGCTAACCAAGTTACAGATGTGAGAGAAAGGTAAATGCGGGGGGGGGGGGGGGGGGGGGGGGGGGGAATTGAAAGCCTGGGAATAATCTGTGACTTTACGGGCATTTTTTGGATATTATTACAAAGCTTGCTGAAGACATAGACAATGCAATCAGAGCCCATCCGAGTTATATAATAAACACCTAATTGGAGGTTGGCTTTTGAGCAGCTCATGATGGAAATAAGAAATTGAGTGAATACCTTAAAAAATGCTATGGTTACCAGAGGGAAGGGGGGTTGGAGAGTACTAAAGTGTAAAGGGGACCAAATATATGGTGGTTAAAGATTACTTGACTTTGGGCACACAATGCAATATGCAGATCATGTGGCATAGAAATGTACATTTGAAACCAATAATAATCTCATTAACCAATATCATCCCAATATATTTAAATTAAAAAATAAAATAAAATAAAGAATGCTATGAAAAGTAAATGAAGTAAGCCACTTAACTACTGAACTTCTTATGAAAACTATTGTTTGCAAATTTTACTTCCTTAAGAAGTAACAACCACTTAGAAATAAGAGTCAGGTCCCATCTGTAACTGCAAAATGCGACAACAAAATAGATCACAAACGAAAGAAATGGAGGACTAAAAGCGTCTGGATATAGAGTTCAAATCTACGCTTATAAGGTTTTTCAAGAATTTCCTAGAAAAGATGGCTAAGACCTATGAGGATATGAAAAGAGATCAACTAGAATTAATAACGAATCATCAAGAAATGATAAGGGATCAACAAGAAATAAAGAATACGATGTCTGAAATAAAAAATATTTTACAGAGTCCTAAAAACAGAAGGGAAGATCGCAAGAATCAAGTCAAAGATTTGGAACATAAAGAGCCAGAAGACACTCCTCCACAGAAGCTAGAAAGCAAGAGAATCCAGAAAATTGAAGATAATGTAAGAAACCTCTGGGACAACTTCAAGCGAACCAACATCAGAATTATGGGGGTCCCAGAAGATGAGAGAGAGCAAGATATCGAAAACATACTGAAAGAAATAGTGACAGAAAACTTCGCCCACCTGGTGAAAGAATTAGACTTGCAAGTCCAGGAAGCGCACAGAACTCCAAACAAAAGGAATCCAAAAAGACCACACCAAGACACATCATACTTAAAATTCCAAGAGCAAAAGACAAAGAGCGAATATTAAAAGAAGCAAGAGCAAAGAAGGTAGTTACCTATAAAGGAGCACCTATACGATTGCTAGCTGACTTCTCAACAGAAACCATGCAGGCCAGAAGGGAATGGCAAGAAATATTCAAGGTGATGAATAGTAAGAACCTACAGCCAAAGATAATCTATCCAGCAAAGCTATCACTCAGAATCGAAGGTCAGATAAAGAGCTTCACTAATAAAAAAAAGCTAAAGGAGTTCATCAACACCAAACCAGAATTATATGAATTGCTGAAGGGGGTTCTTTCAGAAGAGAAAGTAAACAAAGATAAAATTATGAACAACAAATACGTAACTATCAACAAGTGAATCTAAAAACCAAGGAAATTAAAAAAAAATCTGATGAACAATAGTAACTGTTGAATATAATAGAATCAGAGGTATGGAAGGGGAGTGAACTGATGATTCTTGGGGAAAAGGGGAAAGGGGGGCATGGGAAGAGACTGAACATAAACTGTGCACCTATGGATGAGGACAATGGGGAGTGGGGAAAGGGCAGAGGGTGGGGTGGGAACCTGGTGGAGGAGAGCAATGGTGGGGGGGGGGGGGAAAGGAACATTTGTAATAATATGAACAATAAAAACTTATTTAAAGAAAAAAAAAGAAAAAAAAAGAAATAAGAGTCAAAGGTGAAAACATCTAGAGGGGAAAGATTTTGAACATAAGTAGAGTAAAAGTTTTTTTTCTTTCTCCAAATTTCACACACTTACAAGAGTGTGGGCTCTGGTTGTGTGTCTCAGCTGATACCATTTTGAGTGTGTTCTTCGCACTGAAAAATTCAATGCTACACCTTCACATTTTAAAGCAATTTTTTAAAGGAGGCAGAGTGAGTGGAAAGGAATAATTCTGATGTTTCAGTGTCAGCTCTCAGTGCTTTTATCCCAAACCTCTAACTGTTCCTGGATGACAAATCTTTCTTTAAGGGCCTCTGATAAGCAGTGAGTTCTACGTTATATTATCTTAAGGAATTATTTGAAAAACGTCTAGACTTGATTCTTTTTCTCACCTTTGCTGTTTTCACCACAAATTGGCTTTTTTCCCTTTAGTTATATAGAGTGTCTAACAAGATTTCTATTCAGTTGAGCACTATTTTTGGAGGTCTGAGACATTTGGAAGCACAGGCTTTAGAAGACGAAACCATTACTTAGCTGATATCAAAGACACCTATGTCTCTTGGTATTTTAATTTCAACAAAGAAACTTTTATTTGGTGAATCTACCTACAGAATGTACACCTTTCGGTAATATCTATAATAAAAAAAAGTATAATATGCTAATTAGATCGGACGTCCTTCAAGAGTCCTTCTGGATGACCTTCCAGATGAAGCCAGGACTGCAAGGGAAGCCTGGGTTCCGGGTGCCAGAGGGAAGCCAGTGCTGGCAGCTGGGGGAAGGAAGAACTACTCTTGCATGAATTTCATGTATCAGGCCTCTAGTCTACAATAAAGTCTGTGGCACTTGATTTGTTAAGGAGAGTTGTTCTTGACTACGATTACCTTTGACAAACAATGATGTGCTTGGTGTCCCAGCAGGCTAAGGCCTCTCTGTGAACCAGGGAGCAATAACTAAGTCCAAATCTACAACACCATCTAGGTTAATCTCCTTTTATATGAACAACTTCAGTAAAAAGTTAAGTTGTATTGCACACAAAAAACTACTGGGATCTTTAAAGCAAAATTGGGTATGTCAATGTATCTATTTAACTCACACATGTTCATGTTTAAAACATGACAAAAGACCTAAACTCCAGTGCTGGCCCTCTTGACTGGTACCAGAAAGATGGCAATATTGCATGTGGCAGGATTCCTCATAGGCCCATCCTGGGCAGATCAGCCATTGATCCCATATCATTAGTCAGCCCAATCAGACAGGTCGGAACAACCGTACTTCCCCCGGTACACGTGCTAAAATTTGAGCAGTAACTCAGTGGATAGCTGATCCCAATTCACAGCCATTATTGCTAAGGAAAGGGGATGTGATTTGCCAAGATGTAGAGTATCCCATTCTATGAATAAACTTTAAGTACAACACTGTATAACAACAACAGAGATTTCCAAATGGCCTCTGGACCACTCGGCATGTACTTCTCACAGGTAATGTATGTGACACTATGACCTAGACTCTGAATTTTAGAGCCTAAAACAACCCCAGGGATGTAATTCCTCAGATGGGCAAGCAGGCTGGCTGCACAGTTGCAACATACAGATACATGTGACCTTCCTAACACTTGGAGCTTAGGAACCTAACTCCCTGTGGATTTTATCATGAATAGTGTGTTTTAAACTAGAGGCTGTTTAAATTAATCTCTAATGAAGATTGAGTATGAGAGACATTCTTAGTTATCAGTTTATTTTTCCTTTAAAACACTGAAAATGTAAATGCCAAAAGGAGGCAGCCCCAGATTACAGAAAGTTACCAGTTCAAGTCCTGGTGACACAAAGCTGAGTGGTCTTTAAGAATATGGAAATGTATTCAGCCAAAACCGATTCCTCAGAGATGCGGAGAATTTGTAGAATATATATTTTAGCACTTTTTAGTGTCAAAGCTCCTGAAATACCACACTTTTTATTTCACTTAAATTTTTTATTTCCCTTAAAAAACAACAACACACTTTTCTAATAGAATCATGAACCTTCCGTTTTCTCCTGTATTAAGAAAAAAATGTGATTCAGAAAAAACAAATCAAAATGAGCATTGATGACCTCACCTGAGCATTAAAACACATATTGATTTCTTTTTCTTTTTCTTTTTTAAATGTCAAAGTATTGATATTTCTCAAAAATACAGCCCTCCTCCCTATAATTGTATGCTATGCTTGTCCTTGCATCTATCTTAATCTTGGAATGATAAACAGACTCTCTTCAGGGTGAGAAATCCCTTATGGATGTGGCTGCCTAACATGTCTGTTATGATTATGCAGGATATTATATTTGTATGCAAAATAGTATGTGAAGACTAAATTAATAATGGTAAAGATAAGTATAAACAAAGATGAGCTATACTGGAGGGAAATATGTGAGAGAAAAGAATTAAATTCAGTCGAGTCAATATTATACTTCTGAAAAGACTCAAATGTGAGAGAACCATAATGAGGGAACAAGCAGAATGGTATTAAACTCCATTGTATAAAACAGACAAAGCTAAATTAGTCTTGTTCAAATACCAAATAACAGTTTAGGACTACTGCAGCCCAATTACATTAGAGAACAGTTGCTAGGTGTAGTTCTCAAGCCACTAAAAAGAAACCTTGCGCCAGTGATTGTGGGTATTAATTTTAACCCTTAGTAGGAAGTGAGGAAAGGTGATTTTTCTCTTGTTCAGGAAATAAAAAAAACAAGCAAGCCAGACTTCCCAGATCCACTGCACAGACTCAACAGTTTTAAGCTCTTTCATAGATACACAGTTTGAACATTCCAGGAGAGAAATGTACAATTTCCGACACAAAATATTTATGGGATAAAATTCCCTATCCTTGCCCCCCTTCCCCCCCCCCCCCAAAAAAAAATCAAATCGGTAATCAAATGGGGAG